CCTTCCTAAACTACATAACATCTCAAATCGATATTACCGTTACTTTTATCCTTCTTATTATTATTATCTACAGCTAGATGGTGCCGGGTCGTATAACCAAAATCCCGCGATCATGGATCCGGAAAGACAGCAACCTCAATCTCCTCTACATCTAAAAAGAAAGAGACAAAAACAAAACAACAGAAAAAGAAAACACATTTCAACCAAGCTTTCCTCCCTCGCCATCTACTTACATCGAAAATTAAATCATCGGTCCCACGCCTCTCACTGCTTTGCCTGCAAAAGGGAGAACAGACATGATTACAGGACGGAATATAGGTATATGTATATTTGTTTTCTGCTTGGAAAATACATGAGAGGTCATCATTTACAGTAGCTTCTTGATTAAAATGCAAGCAACCAATTAAATTATCATTTCAAAGCATGAAACTAGGTATTTTTCTATATATTTATTAAAGTTTCAAACTTTGGAATCTGTTGACGGCATTTTTGACAGCATTACGAGGAATAAACAATGGGAATCTAATAAGATGCTTAAAAAGTTAGGTATGCGCGCCTAACACCGATGAGATCAATAATAAGGAAACTCACACCAACCAAGAACATCAAGCAGCAGTTTACATGAATTTGAAAGAGTAAACAAAAAGAAAGAACAGATCTTGACATCTTGGTATACGCCCAGGGTTAGGTAGGTGAAAAAGAAAGCTATCGCAGTTAAGCTAACAAATCAAAAATCAACCAAAACTAAGAATATCAAGAATGGGATAACTAGCGTTAACCCTCTACTTCTTTGAATTCGATGGTAATATGAGAAATTCAGAAGGAAATCTAATTTCTAGAGACAGTCCTCACATTAATATCATATTACCTTTGTGAGAATCAATAACTATCTGCATAAAGTGAAATGGGTATAATGACAATTTTCTGGAATACTTAATTACGTTACGGGCACACGATGTCGTTCTGTTGGCATCTTTAACACGCGAACACGTGACACAGAAGAATTAAAAAATAATACCCAGTCAACCAGTTTGGAAAGAAATGATCTTTAGGGGTATAATAGTCCTTTCGAACATGTATATGTCAAATTATTTGCTTAGTTGACAAAGAGTATATATCCCTTACCTGGGAGTATAAGAAGGTTCCGAGGACAGCAATTGCCGCTCCAAGAGCATTGACAGGTTGGACAGGAGTGTGGAAGATAATAATGGATGAGACTATGACTGATATCCGTTTCATGGTGTTACCGATGCTAAATGTCAAGGGGGAGATTTCATCGAGGGACATGTATGACACTTGATTGTAGAGATGATAGAACACGCTCTGGGCTGCCAACCACCTGTTAGAAATAATGACAGCCACAAGATATTTTAGTATCAAAGGCAAAAAAATGAGCAAAAGATATCATAGCTAATAAAATTAATTTCAATAAAATCAAAATTCTGGAAAGAGTGAACAAGGCTAAGACGAGAACCGTTACTGCCAAAACAAAATGTTCCAGAAAGAGCTTCCCTAATTTTCTTTAGAACACTAGAATACCGTAAGCTCTAGTTAAGCACCATTCAATGTGCATATTACATTGACAATCAACATATGCCGAAAAATAAAGAGCAAGTAATTAACTTCTACCAAAAGTGGGGAGAGAGGGGAAAAGTCCAAGCAAATTAGATAAATCCAATTCATTTTTCTTTACCTTTTAACAATGTGATTTTTCTATTAAACAACGAGCTATTTTAATAAAAGCAAGAGCTGAAACCTGTACAATACAAAAATTTATGTTTTCGTAGCACCATGAAACATCTAAACCAAAGCAACTACAAGTTTTCAAAACATGCAAAATCCTCCAATTCATATATTAGATTTAGAAAGTGACAGGTCTCACACAAGACTGATATAAACAATAGAGAAAATTGATCTTGTAATTACCATATGAACTGCGGTCCAATGTCTGAGAGAGCCTTTTGCCATCCTGCTGCCCACATTTGTGGTCCCTCAACAGCAATTGCAAATGGGGTGAGAATTAAGAGAGACAACATTGAGAGACAGGCATAGTAGTTCATTCCACTAACTGATTTTCCCTTCATGCCCTTCTTCGAAAAAATGTTACGGAAAACAAATGCCAAGTTGGAGATCATAGCTCCCATAAAACCTGAAACAGACAGCCAACAACCAGGTTCAGAACTCTGAAAAGAGCATCTGAAGAAAAATGATAAGTATATCCTTACCCATATGTAAATTCAAGAATAACCAAGCAAAGTTCTTCTATTACTTAGATTTTCCATTATGAAATACCAATTTCAAATTAAATTTTGCAAATGTACCAACTCTTTACTGAAACCTAACTTAAGGCAAAACCGAAGAAATCGGAACACTGAATAGAATACTTAAATTTCAGTGATTAATGCAACAAGCAATCAGCATATTTAGAAAAAGAAGAAAAGATTATATTACCAGTCATGTTGAAGTTGAGCTCTGTTACAGCTGCAAGAGCACAACCACCAATGATGGGGATGAGGGAAAGGTAGACCGATGTGGGGAAGGTCTCACCCAAAAGGAACCTTGAAACCAATACGCTGAATGCAGGCTCACCACTCTTGATGATATGAGTGAATGAAACTGCAACCTTGGACATACTCACAGTAGCTGCCACATGCCCAATTGTGTGTGCCACCGCAACCTATTCGAAACATAATAAAACCCAAGACAACAATGATAAGAATCCGGTATTGATTGAGGATAACCAAAGTTAAAATCTTTCCTGATAAACTGAAACACCAAAGTTCTCTAATTTTTTGTTTGGTTAAGCAATGGTGAAATTTTCAGACAAAACAAAAAAATTTAGCTTATAAAGTTCTAATTTTTTGGTGCTAAGATTCATAAAAGTCCACCTAAATCAATTAAGAGACTTAAACAATATTAATTCCCAAGCAAAATTTCACTTTCTTACAAAAGCGCAAAGCAACAGAAAAGCAAAAACATCATTGTCTTTTCCTGAGTTTTTTCAGCAAGAAAACAAATCTGTAATTATCAGAAAACTAAAACACGCCACAGCACCTAACACAACAAGCAGATCAACATACCAGGGCCAAGCCTGAAACTTTTAACGCCATAGACAAGAAAAAGCAGCAAACTTACCGGAAACAAGGTCTTCCAGAACTCGAAATCGGTCTTGGGTGTCTCGGCGATCCTCGTGGCCCAAGAAATGAGCATCATCAGAGACCCAGTTGCGAGAGAAAGCGTGGAGGTCAACCATGGATAAGGGTACGCATTCAACACCTTCTTATTGTATATATTGAAGACGACATTCAAAGCCCACCAGGTGGCGAAGTAAATCCCGATTTTGACCTTCTGCCCCGCCGCCGATTTCGCCACTTCAGGCACCGGAGACGACTCGATCGGCTCTGATCGATCAGCCTCGTAGGCCTGGCATTTGGTCACGGATTTTGCGGGCCTCAATGACCCACAAAAGCTCGAGATTGAAGACAGATGCAACGGCTTCGAGATCGACAGAGCCGCTCTCTGCGGGAGATTCAGAGTTGGTAAAGATGGTTTAAGCGAAGATCGCTGTATTTGAGACGGCGATTTTCTAGAATCAAACCCATTGATCCCAGCTGCCAGTCTTGTCGTCGGAGATTGTTTAACGCTGCAAATCATGGTTGAAAATTAAAAAAAAAAAAACTCTGTTTTCTTTCACGGTAAAATCAACCCTTCACCCAAAAGCTCTATTAAATATGGCAGAGAAAAATCGTTAATCCAAGCTTTGAAAATAGAACACAATCTTTCCACGACTCTTCCTCGGATCAAAGTTTCTAAATTTTGACTTTGAATAACTTCAAAAAAAGAAACCCAAAACAGAATATTTCAAAAGAATACAACTTCGATCAACAGTGGTCTCGCAAAATATATAAAAACCCAGTGTGCAAAAAATAAAAAAAAAAAGATGAAATTTTTAATGGAGGGTGCAGCTTGGCTGGTGGATTTGGAGAGAGAGAGAAAGGGAGGTTGATGGCTTGATTTTCTTCTTCTCTGAAATCTAAGTCCACGATTTGATTCACCGAAAAATCATGTGAATGTATCTGTATTTAAAGTATGCTCGGAGGAAAAAGTGAAGGGAAAGATCGCTTGACGAAAGTTGGTTTTGTAGGTTTTGGATCCTCTGCAAGTGAGTTCACTTTAGTTTTATGTTCTAACCATTCACCTTATGCCACGTGGATACTAATATTATATTACGTTAAATTATTTTTATTATCAGTTTTAAAATTAATTTGTTCCTTCTTTTCCTTTCCAACTCGGTCTGACCCTGACCCGAACCCGAACCCGCAAACGCCACCCTACCACCATTTCAGTCAGCAGTCTGTGCAAGCCATGATTTTGTTTCTGCCTGTCTGCTTCAGCTTCTCTGCCTTTTACTCTAACCCGTAAGTCTTCTTCTGTCTTCTTTTTTTTCACAGTGTCTGCTAATTTATCTTTTATTTATTTATTTTTTTAATTTCCTCTCGCGAGTTCTAGGGTTTTAGTCTAGGGTTTTACTAAATGGTCTGATAATTCCTAACTTCAGGTAATGCTTTACAGTTTCTAAAAGTTGGAGGTAGCTGCATTTTGATATTTGATTTCCTATTTTACGGTAAATTTCGATGATAAATTTTTTAGAAAGGGAAGTTCGTTGAAGTATTGAGAACAAGATAATGGGGCGTAGTGTTTCGGAGGATTCAGAATCTCCAGTTAGGGGTCGACGGTCTCCTCATCGAAGGAGTCCAACTAGGAGTAGTCCATCTCGGGGAGAGAGATCGCCTGTGCATCATCGAAGTTCTTACAGGGGCCGGTCTCCAGAAAGAGAGAAACATTCTGGCCGTGGTAAATCTCCGAAGCGAGTGAGTCCACAGTCTCGCAGTTCTCGTTCTCCTTCTCCTCGGACAAAGCGCTTGAGGAGAGCCCAAGCTGAGAGGGAGACTGAGAAAGTGAAGGAGAGAGAACATGAAAGGAGCAATGGTAAGGGAAGTGAAAAAAGTACTCGTAGGGAAAAAGAAAGAGAAAGAGAGAAGGATAGGGAAAGGGAAAGGGAAAGGGAAAAGGGAAGAGAAAGGGAAAAGGAAAAAGAGAAAGGGAAGGATAGGGAAAGGGGTTCTAACAATGAAATTGGAAATGAGAGGAAGGAAAGAAGGTCGGAAAGAGACGAGAAACGGTCAGGAAGAGATAACAGTGACAACAGATCTTCTAGAGGAAGACGTGATCGATCTACTTCTCCTTCTGATCGCCACCAAAGGAATAAGCATAGATCTAATTCGCCCACAGCAGCAGCTGGAACTAGAGCACACGATGAGGTTTCTGGTGACATCTACACTCTCAAGTGTCTTTTTTCTTTTTTAATCGTTTAATATTTTTATTCATACTTACTTTTATCTAAGGTTGTACATGGAGTGAAGCATGCTCATTTGCTTGTAGAGCGTAGTTTTCATTACTTGTTAGTAAGATCGCCAACTTTCAGTTATTTTCTACTTAGAAAGGTTCAACTAGCCATCTGCTTGCCCATTTTTGTTGTGATTAGCATTTTTTGTGTAACCTCGACCATGCTAGAGAGTTGCTCATGATTATTAGTGAAATTAATTATACAAGATTTTCCCATAAGTTGAGCTAAAAACTTGCATAACCATTGTTGAACTTGGTTAGGTATGTAGATGATTAGGATAGTCTTCACAGTGGACAGTTTGATCCTTCAGTGCAATAAATATAAAAA